TTATTAAACTTTAGAGATCAAGCTATGATGTATCACTGAGCACGGTGGTACACATCTTTAATCCCAGGACTCAGAAGGCAGAAGCAGGCGGATCTCTGTGAGTTCAAGGCCAGCCTGGTCTACATAGTGAGTTCCAGGCCAACTGGAGCTACAGGGAGACCCTGTCTCAAAACTACATACAAAACAATAGATTACCGCTAGAGGAGGAACAGCTGACCCTCCTAAAACAAAGACCTCTAGATAGGCTGACTAGATTCACCAGAAGGGCAAGTAGTGGGGAATGGCTGGGGGTGCTAACAACACAGCAGGCAGTAGCAGGGATATCAGAGTATAAGGGCTCTAGTGGGGGGAGGGAGGCTATGGGAGGGTGCTATCTGGGAAGTGGGTGTAAAAATAAATAAATTAAAAAATAAAACAAGAAAAACTATGGTGTATCCCTACACATGTCAGTGAAAAAAACACGCCATGAGCATCAAGATAAAAGGCTTCTAGATCAAGATAAAAGGCTGGAGAGATTTCTCAGCAGTTAAACAGCACTGACTGTTCTTGCACAGGACCTCATTTGTTTAACTAACAATGGTACGTAGTACCAGGGGATCCGACACCCTCTTTGACCTCCATGGGCACTGCACAACTGGGCACAGCATGACATAGGTGCACTACATACACACAGGCAATACACTCATACGCATAAAAAAAATTTTAAAAAAGTCTACTGGGAATGGTACATGCCTTTAATCCCAGCACTCGGAGCAGAGGCAGAGGCAGGCAGATCTTGTTAGATATGGAGGCCAGCCTGGTCTACATAGTGAGTTCCAGGCCAGCTGGGGTTATAGGGAAACCCTATATCAAAAAAAAAAAAAAAAAAAAACCCAAAACAAACAAACAAACAAACCCCAAAACTCTAAAAGGCCCAAGTTTCTTTCTTGATATGGCCTCATTTGCTCTTCTCATTCCTCAGCATCCTGGGTGCTGGAATTACAGGCATGTGCCACCAAGTCAGGCTCATATTTCTTATAATTCTTTCTTGCTCTAAGATTCTATATTCTATACCATCTTAAATTTCCTTATAGAGAACATTTGCTTAAAATTGTTTTATTAATTTTTATGTATATGAGTATTTTGTCTACATGTATGTAACTGTACTATGTGCAATGCAGTGCCTAAGATGCCAGAAGAGGGTGTTGGATCCCCTGGAACTAGAGTTTTGGATGGGTTTCCAAGGATTTTTCTGTCTCCACCTCTCATCTTGCCACAGAAGTGCTTAGACTACAGATGTGAGCTACTGTTCCTGGCTTTACATAGGTTATGGAAACTCAAACTTAGAGCCTCCCAACTTGTGTGACAAACACTTTATTCACTGAGCCTAAATTATTACTATTTTTTTTTAAGGATACTGACTCCAAGCATGGTGGCATATGCTTGTTAATTCCAATACTTTGGAAGTGGTAGCAGGAGGATCAGGACTTTACAGTCACCCTCAGTTACAAAGACTTTGAATTCAAAGACTGATCTCTGGATTATGTTGAGATCCTGTTAGCAAACCAATAGTAGACTGGAGAAGTGGCTCAGCAGTTAACTTTTGCTGCTCTTCCACAGGACTGGAGTTTCATTCCTAGCACCTACATTAGGTGGCTCAGAGCTGCCTGTACCTTCAACTTCAGGGGATCCAATGTCTTCCTCTGATCGCTTTGGGTACCCACAAATGGCATACACATACATAGAGACATTAAAAATAATCTTTAAAAACCAAAGGATAGGGGCTGGAGAGATGGCTCAGTGGTTAAGAGCAATGACTACTCTTGTAGAGGACCCAGGCTCAATTCCTAGCACATAGCTATCAACCACCTGTAACTCCAGTTCCAGGGAATCTGACACCCTCTGTGGGCATTTGCATGACAAAGGTGTACTTACATACATGCAGGCAAACACACACATACATACACACACACACTAAAATCTAAAAACCAAAGGATATTTTGACTTTTAAAAAATAAAGATATTATTTTATTTTTGTCTATATGGGTATATACCACCTGTATGTGGGTACCCACATAGACCAAAAGAGGATGTCAGATCCCCAGGAGCTGGAGATGGGTGCTGGGAATCGAACTCCAGTCCTCTGGAAGAGCAGCAAGTGGCTCTTAACCACTAAACTACCTCTCCCTAACCCCCAGAACTAACTATGTAGATGGGTGGCCTTGAACTCAGAGATCCTCCTGCCTCCCATGTTGAGATTAAAGGCATGCACCACCATGCTGACTAACTTTTCATTGTTTAAACATACTTTAATTCTTTTAACAATTTTTCCCTCATTGTGTATATTTACTGTATATAAGTTCACTTTTTAAAATATTTATTACTATTTTTAATTATTTGTATGTGTTGTCTGTGTGTGGGCCTTTGAGTGCAGGTGCCCTCAGAGGTGAATGGCTTCTGATCCCTTGGAGTTACAGCCAGTTGTGAGATGCGTGATGTGAGTGCTGGGAATCAAATTCAGGTCCTCTGAATTTGAGTAGTACATGCTCTTAAATGCCACCTCTTCAGCCCCAGGACATTATTTCTTGTTTTTGGTCTTTTTGGGGGTCTCCCTATAGCCACAGCTGGACTGGAACCTACTACGTACACCAGGCTAGCCTCAATCTCAAGAGAGCTGCCTGCCTTTGCCTCCTGAGAGCTGAAATTAAAGGTATGGATGACCACTCCTGGTCCCAGGACATTTTCACACACATGTATAATAAATATTGAGCTTATAATCCACACGCCCCCCTCTGCTTTTTCACTTTTGGTTTTTTTTGAGCTAGGATACACAGTCCAAGGTGGCCCCAAATTTACTATATGGTCCAGGCTCGTCTTAAACTTCTGATTGTCCTGTGTGTCTCTGTCTCCCAAGTGCTAGAACGATAGGTATGGATAACTGGATAACTGTGCCCAGCTAAATAGTTTTTAAGTTGTTTTGAGGCACTCTAGTATTCTGTTATATTAAGGTTTCAAAAAGCCTCTGTGGGGAAAATAAGGAAAGAAGGCTGAGAGGCAAGAACCACTAGGGCAGTCACCTCTGATTGGACTACAGAAGTTGATTTTTCACTGGTTGCTCTGTAGTATGTCCTAGTAGAACCTAAGAGAGCACCTTTTTAGAAAGGGGGGGGGGATCAACTGAAGACTCATTTGTAATCAAGTATTCTGCTTTCACTTAGACTGACCATTAATTTGAGGTGGTTTTAGACAAAGTGATATAGACAGTGGCAGGGAATGGCTAACAATTCCAATTTCAACTGTTACAACTGGTGTATCTTTATATATTTAATGTTTAAAAGGGGTTCAGTGCCTTAAAAAGAGTCTGGAAACCACTAATTTACAGAATCACTAGTAATTCTCAGGTTAATAAGGACAGCAGATGGTTCAGAACCCAAATTTTGTGTGTGTGTGTGTGTGTGTGTGTGTGTGTGTGTATTCCTCCCCTCCGCTCCCCTCCCCTCCTCTTCCCTCCCTCTCTTTCCTTTCTTTTTGTTTAGACAGGGTCTTACTATGTTGTTCTGGCTGGCCTGGAACTCCCTATGTAGACCAGACTGGCCTTATTTGTAATTTTTTTTTCAGACAGGTTCTCATTATATAGCCCAGCCTGGTCTGGCATTTGTGAATTGCCTGCCTCAGCCTCCTGAGAGCTGGAATTACAGGTGTATATCACCGTGTTTGGCTTCCAAGTTGCATATATTTTAATGCTATGTATGTCTGTGTAGATATATAATGATATTCATTCATCAATAACATATTTCCTTTAAAATATGTTGGTGAATGGTGGCACATGCCTTTACCAGCACTTGGGAGACAGAGGCAGGTGGATCTCTATGAGTTTGAGGCCAGCCTAGTCTACACAGTGAGTTCCAGGCCAGCTGGGGCTACAGGGAGAGCCTGTCTCAAAAAAGACCAAAAGTAAATAAATAAATAATATTGGTGAGGGGACTGAGGAGATGGCTCAGCAAGTAAGAGTGCTTGTCATATACACATCAAGATCTGAGTTCAAATCCCTAGTACCCATTTAAAAAGCTAGGTGTGGCGCCACAGCCTATAACCCCAACACTATGGGAGGTAGAGACAGGAGATCACTGGGGCTTGCTTGCTGGCTGGTATCCTAGCTCTGCGTTCGTGAGATAACCTGCATAAGGCAGAGAGTTATGGAGCAGGACCCTTGATGCCCTACCCTGGCCTCCATGTGTACACAGGTGCATGTAGTGGCAAATGCAAGTGTGCCCCCCCTCCCCCCTCTCCTCTCCTCCCCTCTCCTCTCCTCTCCTCCCTTCCCCTCCCCTCCCTCCCTCCCTCTCCCTCTCTCCCTCCCATACAGTTAATGGGCCAGGCATGGTGGCGTATGCCTTTAATCTCAGCACTCAGGAGGCAGAGGCTGAGGCAGGCAGATCTCTGTGAGTTCAAGGCCACCCTGGTCTACATAGTGAGCTCTGGGCCAGAATGTATGAACTCCAGTGGAAGGGCTGTGGGAGGATGACAAAGGGGAAGAGGGGGTATAAAGATGATTTCTCTGTATGAAATACACAAAAATTCAATAAAAAATTATGTTAGTGAGTTTACATTAGTTTTAAAATTTGTTTTGCCCCTACTTTTACAAATTAAAAAAAAACCATCACCTAAGATAAATGTTTTTTTCTGCTTGACAGCCAAGGTCAGTAAAAGGGAAAAAAGTTATGTGGACTAGATACTGGCCTATTTTTGTATTTGATATAATGCCTTTCTTTTCTAGTTCTTAGGCATTTGAACTCCAATGATACATGAGAAATGTGCTGTTCTGCTACCAATTTGAAATGAGAACAAAATATCTATTCAAAAACTAGTGTCATATTGTTTATGTCTTCAGTTTAATTGTGGTTAGGAATGGAAGGACATACAATTTGAATCTAAACCATTCAGAGGGAAATATAAGATTTAGCCATGGCATTTATTCTGGACTTGTATCAGTAGTAGTAATAAAAGGTTGTTTCTCTTACTTTACCAAGAAGGACAGCCATTTTGTGACGCCATCTGCCTTTATTTAGAGAAGCAACTCTGATCCAAATGTTTAACTGTGAGTTATAAATCCAAACATCACGGCTATTGATTCTTCCACCTTTAAATGTAAAACAATGCACGTCACTAAATATGACAAGGGATTTATGCCACCAAGACATAGGTAAAGAGAACATAAAATTGATTCATTCAATTAAAGAAGCTGAGAATTTAACTCAATAGTTATGAAAGAAGGAATCTTTTACAGCCTAATAGAAATCATTATACAGAGCGGATTTAAAATTTACCAACTGTTATCTTAGAAATAATGATGATAAACCCTCAATAATAAAATCTAAAAGGTGAGTTTTACAAATCTGGCATCAGATGACTACAACCAGATGTTCTGAAAACCACACTATTGTACAAAATAAGGTATATGTTGTAGTATCAATCACTGGGTAGTATATAATTTGCAACCTTGGTAAATTCATTTTGTCTAGTAACAGACTTCCAAGCATAGATATACTTACTGTTTTTGTAAATCTGTCATTTTTGTCTGAGTTCAGAAGAACTATATCACATATAATGAATAAGTTCAAGTTAAGAATTTCACAGAAAAATTCTAGTTCATAAACTTTGGGAAAGAATTTCAGAAAACACAGGCAAATTAGAAATGCTTAGTTGCATGAATACTTCAGATTTTGCACAGTTGATAGCAATCCTTAAAAAATATTTAAGGTGGTAAAAGCTAAAGCATAACTGTAAGCATATCTGAAAGCGTTTAAAATATGATGACCAAAAGCATTTCTGGTAGATCTTTTGTAAATCATTCTGATTTAAGGGTAAAAAGTCAATTTCAATTTTGTCATATAAACTGATTTGCCTTAAGTATTCATTTCACATTCAACAAGATACTATTTTTTTTAAACAGTCAACTTGTGTCCAAAGCAAAAAGCTGTAGCTAACTGTAATAATTATTTATTTACCTGAAACAAGAATATCATTCCTTAGTGCACAGACTGCATACTCTGATTTGGTAAATTCTGGAAGCTTAGCCAAGGACTTCCACTCTCCTGTTACTGGATCATAGCATTCAGTGTATGGAAGATTAAATCCTCCAACTCGTTCACAGCCTCCAACCACAACTATCACCTCCGAATAGCCAGTAGACCTAAAATAATTATTATAAGAATGCACAAATAACAGTAATACATTATAATATATTCAAGATTTTTTTTTAACTCTAGAAACAAACCACACCATAGCATTTAAGTTTTTTTGTGTATGTGCCAAATAGCATAGGCTGGCAATTACATACTTTGAGAACATTTATTAATGACAATGTTATTCCACTGAAAATGTCTACAATATTTTTGTTTGTTTATTTACTTATTGACATGGACTTGCTATATAGCCCAAGTTGGCTTCAAAGTCATGATCTTCCTGCCTTTGAGTTGCTGGGAATACAGGTGAGTGATGGAAGTGATCACAGCCACTAAATCTGGCTTTTCTACGAGTTTTGACTTAAAAGTTGTAAAGTATGGGGCTGGAAAGATGATTCAGAGGGTTAGAGCACTTGTTGGTTCCTGGGACCCAGGTTAGTAACTCTAGTTGCTTTTAAAAACAGTTCCAGGGGCTCCGAGACCCTCTTCTGGCCTCTGTAGACACCTGCACACATGTGCACACACAAAATAAATAATACACTTTCAAATGAAATGCAGCAATCGACATAGGTCTTACCTATTCCCCCACACCTGATTTTGCCCATGTAGCCCTGCCTGGCCTTGAACTCAAGATTTTGCTACATCAGAAGTACTAGGGCAAAGAGTGCAGACAGCCAAGAACAGTCTTGGAAGACATTCTTGTCAGATGCTATAGACCTTTTGAGTACGTCTAGGGATCAGACACAGGGACCTGATAGAGAGCCAATGCTCTACCACTGAGCCATACCCCTAGCCTTACTTTCTCCTCTCCTCCCCCATGGTAGGGATTGAACCCAGGTCTTCATCATGCTATCTGAGTGCTCTACTACTGAGCTATATGTCTATCCCCAGCCCTTCTCTATACTTTTCCTTCTAAGTTATTCAGGCTGGCCTTGAACTTACTCTACAGTTCAGCAGGTCTTGGACTTGGATCTCCTACTTAGCCTCCCGGTAGCTTGGATTACAGGCTAGTTCCATAGGTCTGGCTGTGAAGCTTTTTGTTTTTTCTTACAGTGCTAGGGACCAAAATCAGGGCCTTGTGTTTCTAAGGTAAGCATTTTACCACTTTTTCATCAGGTTGCTAATTATAAAAACCCAATTTTTTTAACTCCTTTAAGGGAATTTATGAAAAACAAAACAAAAAAGATAAACTCAAAAACATTTGACAGTCAAATCATTAAACACAACACAACAAGATGACAACAACAGGTTAAAAATCTAAGTTTGAGACTTTAAACCTTAAAGAGAACAGTTCTTTAGTCTGGAAAATATGGCACTACTAATATAAAGTAATATCTAAAGAAAGAAGTAGAACATAGGATTGGTCAGCCCTAGGAACAATATGTAAATGAACAAATGAGTCAATACAATGTAATATCTAAAGAAAGGAGTAGAAGATAGGATTGGTCAGCCCTAGGAACAATATGTAAATGAACAAATGAGTCAATACAATGTAATATCTAAAGAAAGGAGTAGAAGATAGGATTGGTCAGCCCTAGGAACAATATGTAAATGAACAAATGAGTCAATACAATGTAATATCTAAAGAAAGGAGTAGAAGATAGGATTGGTCAGCCCTAGGAGCAATATGTAAAGAACAAATGAATTAAAGAGTAAATCACAATCAGGGGAAAACATTTACTGTACCCATTCAAGTGATTATCTTAGCTTTGTAGACCTGAACTAGTGCTTGGGCAAGAAAATTTTTGTCAGGTGAGCGTTTCTCAAGTTATATGTATTTTTGTGTTTCTGGTGAAAGTATGAATTGGAAGGCAATTTTAATAATACCTGTAAAAGTTAATACTGCATATATCGTATGACTAAGCAATTCCACTATTAGTAATTTAGGGTATAAATTAACATTTTATGCATTCAAAGACACAAATGCATTAAGAATATTTACTGAAGGGGCTGGGGAGATGGCTCAGCGGTTAAGAGTACATGCTGCTCTTCTAGAGAACCTTAGTTTGGTTCTCAGCACCTACATCAGGCAGCCTCTAACTCCAGCTCTGTGCTGGATAGCTTTAGTGTCAACTTGACACACCTGGGCTGAGGGAGCCTCAGTTGGGGAACTGCCTCTATTGGACTGGCCTGTGGCCATGTCTGAGGGGCATCTTCTTGATGAATGATGTGGGAGGGTCCAGCCCACTGTGGGTGGTGCCACCCATGGGCAGGTGGGCCTGTGTTGCATAAGAAAGCAGGCTGAGCAGGAGCCAGGGGGGCAAGCTAGTAAGCAGCGTTCCTCCATGGCCTGTGTTCCAGCTCCTGCCTCCAGGTTCCTGCCCTGAGTTCCTACCTTGGGCTCCCTGATGAACTGCAACCTGGGAGTTGTAAGCTAAATAAACCCTTTCCTCCCCAAGTTGGTAGTGGTCAGAGTGTTTTGTCACAGCAATGAAGAAACAAACTAAGACAAGCTCCAAGGGGGATCTGGTGGCTCTAGCCTCTATGGGCATCTGTGTTTACATGCACATCACATGCATATCATAGGCATATCCATGCATATAATTAAAAATAAAAATAAAAGAATATTTATTTTCTTTGCAATAGCAAGCCAAACCAAACTGATCCCTATCCATAAAGAACCCTACAATCTAAATATTCATCATTAAAAGGTAGGTTAGGGCTGGTGAAATGGCTCAGTGGGTAAAGGTGCTTGCTGTCAAGCCTGATAACACGAGTTTGATCCCTACAATCCATATGGTGGAAGGAAAGAACCAACTCCCACAGGTTGTGCTTTGACCTCCACATGTGCACCATGGCATGTAAATAAAAACAATGAAGAAAAAATTATACATGAATGTTCCCAGAAGCCTACTCATAAAAGCCAGAGTAGAAACAATGGAAATGTACATTAAGTGCTGAGTGGTACATAAAATACAACAGAAAAAAATCCTGTTCATAAATATGCTATTCAGCTGTGTAAAAAGAACAAATTAAGAGGGGGCTGGAGAAAGAGCTCAGCAGTGATGAGCATGCACTGCTCTTGCAAAGGACTGGAGTCCAGTTCCCAGCACCTATATCAGTGGCTCAAAACCACCTCTAACTCCAGTTCCAGGGGGATCCAATGCCTTCTTCTGGCCCCCAAGGGCATGCACAAACATGGTGTACTTACATACATGCAGGCAAAACACTCAAATGTATCACTGGCCCCCACAAGATCCATAACCATTGCCCAAACAACAAAAATTCTGGTATGGTGGCTCAGGTCTGTAATCCCAGTACTGAATAGCACCAAGAAAGTGAAGTCAGGAAGATCACAAGTTCAAGGTCATTCCAGATCACTTTAGTGGGTTGGAGGGGCCACCCCATGATGGGGTGAGAGGAACTGTTTCAAAAATAAAATAAACCACAATATTTAATAAAGCCATATAACGTACTGCCTCATCATTTTTATATAATGTTTTTTAAATATTAACAATGGAAAGTTACTAAAGAGGCAGTATTCATCTAGTTAGAAGCATGAGTTCTGTAGCCTTACCATCACTGGTTACACTATGTGATCTTAAGTTACTTCTTTGAGACTTTGTTGATCTGTAAAATAAGTTTAGTAATAGTACTAACTCAAGACTATTCTGAGGTTTAGATGAGTTAACATGGGTATGGTATATAGATGAGTTTCTGGGATGTAAGAGTTTCCTATTATTATTATGGGATGATAGATGGAGAGATGTTGCACGAGCCCCTCTGAATGAGCAGTATCACATATCCTAAATACACATCACTTAGGATACTTAACTAATATCCATCAAGCTGAAGTTTGTATAGCTAGCTTTCAATTTCTAGGAAATTATATAGCTAAATAATAACATGAGGAAGCAGTGTATGAGTGTTATGCCTGCTTATGTAAGTGTGCCTGTGTCATGCTGTACCCTCAGAGGTCAGAAGAGGGTGTTGAATACCCTGGAACTTGAGTTACAGATGGTTGTCAGCCACTGTGTGGGTCCTGGGACTCGAATCCAGGTCTTCTGGAAGAGCAGCCAGTGCTCTTAACTGCTGAGCTATGTCTCCAGCTCCGCCCCCCACCACCCTGCGCCATAAACTTTTTTTGGGGAGCGGGGTCCTTTTTTTTTTTTTCCAGTCTTTTTGAGACAGGGTCTCCCTGTAGCCCCAGCTGACCTGGAACTCACTATGTAGACCAGGCTGGCCTTGAACTCACAGAGATCCTCCTGCCTCTGCCTCCTGAGTGCTGGGACTAAAGGTGTGCCACCACACCCAGCCCAATAAAGTTTTTTAAAAAACTGAAGGTGCAGTTCAGTGGAAGAGTGCTCACTTAGCATATGCAAGGCCTTGGGTTCAATCCCCAGTACCGTGGGAAAAAAAAAATTCTGTGGTGGTAGTGAAATAAAATATTTAGGTGAATAAGGAAAATCATTTCTTCAAAGGAGTAATGGGACACTTAAAGCTGCAAGGTGCTTTGATTTAGCTCATATCTCTTCAAGTAATGTTAATAATAAATGGGTCATTTTATTTATAGCCTATAACCTTTTGTCCCTACTCTAATATTTTTGCAAGCTGGGTAACGATTAGCCCCATTTAATCATAGACCTTTCCTCCTGCAATAAGAGCATTATACTTGGAAAAATGTGTGACTTCCCTTTCAGAAGGATATTCTGCTTGTAGAAATTACTGAAAGAACTAATAATTATGCTGCCCTGAGGCTCTTCAGCCTTCTCAATATATTCAAGAACCCTGTCTTTTTATATTCTCCAGTGTGGTCCTTCACAAAAAGCAAAAATACAGGCATGGTGGCTCATGCCTTTAATTCCAGCACTTGGGGAGCAAGAATGGGAAGATTTTTCAAGCTGGGCTAGACTGAGACTGTCTCAAAACACCAACCAATCCAAAGAACTTAGGGGAAAAAAACCCAACAGTGTATTTGTAGAATAAAATATTTTCAATTCTTCATATGTGTGAGACTGTATAGTATTTATAGTGTAGGCATGAATGTGCCATGGTGCATATGTGGAGGTCAGAGGACACCTTTCAGGAGTTAGTTCTCTCATTCTTCCTCCATGTGGGTCCCAGGGCTTGAATTCAGGTAGTCAGGCTTGGCCATGGGTGCCTTTACCCGCTGAGCTATATACTACCGTCCAACACCCCCCCTTCCTTCTTTTTTTTTGTTTAAAAATTTTTTATTTTTTAATTTTGTATGAGTGTTATGCCTGCATGTAAATGCTCTTGTGTCGTGCAGTGCCTGCAGAGGCCAGAAGAGGGAGTAGGATCCCCCGGAACTGGAGTTCCATGTGGGTGCTGGGATTCAAACGAAGGTCTTTTGCAAGAGCAACCAGTGCTCTTAACTGCTGAGTCATCTCTCCAGCTCCCCTCACCTTTTTTTGAGACAGGGTCTCACTATGTAGCCCTAGTTGGCCTCAAATTCAGAGATCCATCTGCCTCCCAAGTAGTGTGGGATTAAAGGAGTGCCCCACCACACCACCAATCCCTCTCTTTTTGAGATAGAATCTCCCTGCATAGCCCAGTCAGCCTTGAACTTTCAATCTCTCATTTCAGTTTTCCAAGTGCTATGATTACAGACATGTGCCATTATACCTGGGTTATTCCATTTATTTATGTATTTATTTATTTTGGGGGGAGGATTATGCTATATTAATGACTTGTAATAACAGTTACCCATCCAATATCATATACAAGTGGTGAAAGACATTCAAGTACTACATTTTTTTTTTCCAAGAAATAGGCTTCATACAGATTTAGATATAAGCTTGAAGAAAGACACATGGGGACAGCAAGATGGCTTGATGGGTAAAGGCACTTGTCACCAAGCCTGATGACCTGAGTTCAATTCCTGGGATCCACATGATGGAAAGAGAACTACTTCTGAAAAGTTATCTGACCTCCATATGCATGTCCCCATACACACACATACATACAACACAAAATAAACACTTTTTTTTGGCTGTTTTTGAGACAGGGTTTCTCTGTTGTCCCAGCTGGCATGAACTCCCTATGTAGATCAGGCTGGCCTCACTCACAGAGATCCCTCTGCCACTACCTTCCAAGAGCAGCTTGGGAAAGGCATGCACCACCACAACTAGCTAACAATTTTCAAACATTTTAAAATTATTTTTATTTTATGCGTATGAGTGTATTGTCTGCATGTATGTAAGTGTACCCATTTTGTGCAATGCCTGTAGAGGTCAGAAGAGGGCACGAGAACCCTAAACTGGAGTTAGGACAGTTGTTAGCCACCATGTGGGTGCTGGGAACCAAACTGGAGTCCTCTGCAAGAATAGCCAGTCCTCTTAACCACTTGAGCCATCTCTCTAGCCCCCACAATTTTTTTTTTTAAATTGCAATGGACATTCTGTGAAGTCAATTATTTATCATTCTTATTTTACATAAAAAGAAATAGATTAAAACCTGGTATATCTAAGATAGCATAGATTTTAAATTCAAGCTATCTCGTATGGTGAATCTAAAGTATATTCCAAAACAAAGACATTCAAAATCAAAGCAAAAAATGTGATTTTTGTGCTCTATTAAATTTACTGGAAAAAGGAAGTAGTATAAAAAAATAAATACTGGTTTCACAACAATGTGAATATACCTAACAGTGCTAAACTGTACAATTAAATATTAGTACCAGGAGTGGTGGCACATGCCTTTAAACCCAGCACTTAGGAGGCAGAGGCAGGCAGATCTTTGTGAGTTCGAGGCCAGCTTGGTCTACACAGTGAGTTCCAGGTCAGCTGGGGCTACAGGGAGACCCTGTTTCAAAAGGACAAAAAAAAAAGAAAAAAAAAAAAATAAAACAGCAAATTTTATGTTATGTATATTTATCACAATCAACAAAAAGTAACTCTAAGGCCAGTAAGATGGCTCAGTAGGTCAAGGTGCTTGCTGTACAAGCCTAGTGACCCAAGTTCCATCCCCGAAACCCATGTAAAGGTAGAAGGCAAGAAACGACTCTACAAAGTTGTCCTCTGACTCCCTTCCACACATGTGTTGTGGCATGTGCATCTATATACCTTAACACAAATAAATCTAACAGTATTCCTTCATTTAAGGCATGGAGATAATTTTCCTATAGTTTATGAATTGAAGTCTACAGATGTTTATAAAAATAACATAAATATGGAATAATCTATTCCAAATAGAATTTTATTAAATTCTGTACAAAGAATGTAATTTTCACAATCAGAAAGAGGATGAGAGTTGGGCATGGTGGCACATGCCAGCCAGTAATCTCAGCACTTGAGAGGTGAAGACAGGGGGATCAGGAGTTCACAGCCTGGGTTAGCTGAGATTCTCTTTCAAAAATCATAAATAACCCTCCCCTCAAAAGAGAAAAGAAAGAACAAGAATTTACAAATTGAGACAAACATTAAATATAGCTACTGTGGCAATTAAAACAGATTTGAGATCTGGGTTTTACATACATAGCTAGGGGTGACCTTTAAGCTCTTGACCTTCATGCCTCTGAGTGCTAAGATTGTAGTCTCCTCACCTGCGTGGCCTGGTCCTTGGCGACATCATTTCATTGCCAAGTATGTGGTAACGTCTTGCTTCATGCAACAACTGGTAACACTCAGGAGAATTCTGGATCAATTGGTCCACCTCAACTGTTTGAACAAAGTAGTTGGGATGCAAAAGTGGGAGTCTCACATGTGTCAGGAGTTCATGTAATAGAGGTCTTCTGAGGTCGACAGCTCGATAGACCCAACGCATGACAGCTTCAAAAACCATCTCTTCTTTACCAATAACAAGTTCATCACTACAAATATAATCAATGAGTTCATCTTTGTCAAGCTCAAGAAACTCTTCATGCTGGGACACATCCTCAAAAGTCTGTAATGCAAAGGTTTTGCACTTTGTGAAGAGTGTTTTGAGTGAGTGGGTATCAGCAAAGCGCTGGATTCCTAAGCAATTGCAAGGATCGAGCTGCTCTTCTAAGAACTTGGCGCATGCGTCTCGGAGAACACTAATCTGAAAGAGGCTTGACGTTTCAAAGAGATACTGAACGTTCTCTGTTGTAATCTTCACTTTTCCAGTATATACATACTGCAGAAAGCATTCCATGGCCTCAGCTAAGATACCATTGATTTCAACCAACATTTCTCGACTTTCCCTGTGGTCATTACAAAACATGGCTCTGAAGTAGCTACTACAGGCTGAGAGGACAGCTCGATGGCAAGGAAATTCTTTTCCTTCCACACAAATGATAACATCTGTGAATAAGCGGCTGTCTCGGAATTCATTAAATATCTGGAGTATGTTTTCAGCATGGGATGATCCCGAAGAGAAGTCAAAATACTCATGACCTGTCAGAGATTTGGGGTCCATTTCAAAAACTTTACGCTTAGTTGCTGGGGAATCACGCACCCCAAGATCCTCTCTGTTTAGTCTTCGTCCCAATATTAGTACCATTGTTACATCAGTTGACTAAATAATTGTTGAGAAATGACCACCAGAGACCTTCTTTATGTAGCTAAAGAAAAATGAAAATATTTCAATATATAAAAATTCAGGAATCAAATTACACAATTTCATTTTGATATAAATATAACAAAGTTACATGATTAATACAGTCACATAGGGCACAGGACACACTAGCTCATTTTAATAAGAACTGATAAAAATTTGCATTTGCAGGATTATATTAGGTTATATGCTCTTAGAACAACTCGCCTGAAAGGATACTATGTGATTTTTCTTTTGGGTTTTTTGAGATAGGGTGCCCCTGTAGCCCCAGCTGGCCTGGAACTCCCTATATAGAACAGGTTAGCCTCCATCTCACAGAGATCTGCCTGCCTCTGCCTCTGAGTGCTCAGTTTAAAGGTGTGCACCACCACACCCAGTGATACTATGTAGTTTTCAAAGTACTAAAAGTTTTCATTTCTCACTTACATAGCTAGGTTTTATTCTACCTTACTGCAGGTTAGAATGCTGTAAGATACAATTTGAGAACATGACTAACAGAATCTTTTAACTACTGTTTTTGTTTGAGACATCCCTACATAGCCCAGGATGGTCTGGAACTCATAGTAATCCTCCTGCCTCAGGCTCCCAGAAGCCATGATTATAGGTGCCATGCACAACCATGCATGGCTTGCAGCCTGAATCTTTAATATAGTTACTATCTTTAAAAATTTTTTTCTTTTTATTTTATGTGTATGATGTTTTGCCTGAATGTTAGTGTAATGCCCTTGGAACTGGAGTTATGGATGGGTGTTAGCAGCCACGTGAGTGCCAGGAACAGAACTTGGGTCCTAAGCAAAGGCAGCCAGTGCTCTTAATCACTTAGCCATCTCTCCAGCCCCAGGCATTGTGATTTTGATTAGTGATGTAATTACTGGCATTAACAACTAAAAAACTCTTAAAGTTGGGCTTGGTGGTACTTGCCTAAATCTTACATTCAGGAGGCACAGGCAGGAAGATGGCTGCAGTTTTGAGGCCAGCCTGGCTTACAAAAATAACCTGTCTCAAAAAAAAAAAAATCAAAATCAATCAACTAAAAAAACTATTAATAACAAAAATGCAGCCCTCTCCCCATATAAAAACCCAAAACTACTTGACTTGTCTCCTTCCATAAATTTTTATTTTCTTGATGGCTACAGGAAAAGATGAAAGGAAACTTTGCTTTCTGTATCTAATGATCTCAATGTATCTAGTATTAGAGAAATTTGGGGTCATAGAGATTGATTAATCTGTGCTATCTCTGGACTTTCTTGGAAATCTCTATTAACCAGTTTTCCACAACAGTACCAAATGTGAACTCTATTTATTACAGGGTAAGTGATTTGCATAGAGCATCTCAATGCTGATATACTTTCAATGTATAACTCTTAGGCTTCCAGAAGTAATTAATCAGCCTTTGCTTTTCTCAAGTCTTTTAACTAGCAATGGTTAAAAATGTAAACACAGGGCCTGGTGAGGTGGCTCAGAAGTTAAGAGTACTTGCTGCTGTTGTAGAGGATATAGGTTGGGTTCCCAGCAATCACAACCTCCTCTAGACTCCAGTTCTGGGTGATCTGACACCCTCTCTGGGTTCTGTGCTCACCAGGCATTTTTACATGCATAAAAAATAAAAAACTTAAAAATATTTTAAATTTATTTTTATTTTATGCTAATGAGAATTCTGCCTTCACGTATATATTGTGCAATGCCTGCGGAGGGCATTGTCCCCTGTAACTGGAGTTACAGATGGTTGTTACCTGCCATGTGGGTGCTGGGAACTGAACCTGGGTCCTCTGCAAGTCAGTGCTCTTAACTACTGAGCCATCTTGCCAGCCCCTAAAAAAATCTTAAAACAAATGCATACATATTTAATCATATGTCAAAATACAGTATTTATTTATAGACAGGGTTTCCCTGTAGCCATAGCAGGCCTTGATCTCACAGAGATCTGCCTGCCCCTGCCTCTGAGTACCATGTGTGCCACCATGCCTGGCTAAAGTACAGTATTTAATATAGGTCTAAGTTTATCATAGATGAATTCATGCATAAGCAAACAAAACAGATTGAATTCTAAAATTTTCCAAGTGTAAAAGCATAATTATTAGCTGGGTGTAGTGGTGCACGCCTTTAATCCCAGTACTCGGGAGGCAGAGGCTGGCAGATTTCTGTGAGTTCAAGGCCAGCCTAGTCTACATAGTGAGTTCTAGGACAGCTGGGCTACAGGGAGACCCTATCTCAAAAAGACTGAAAAAAAAAAAAAAAAAGCCTAATTATTACTGTCAGGAAAAAGTAAGCAAGCTTCTATGTATTAAATATGTAGGAAAATATTCATTCCAAAGAAACATCCTAACAAAAAGCTGTATCTAGTGAGTTGGAGGGCACAAGTGTAATCAGACTGTCATGACAGTTTCATGATTTGTCTCTTAAAATTGGCACCCCTTTTTCTTCCCTCAGACATTGTATTTCTGGAGCTACAGTCTTTCTTGGAAAGAATGATTTCTTAAGAGTCTTCTGGTTAAGGATGCTCTATGTTGTATTTGATCTTTCTGATTGCTAAGTAGATTTAAAATTACATGTATTGGGACTGGAGAGATGGCTCAACAGTTGAGCACTGGCTGCTCTTGCAAAGGACCTGGGTTTGGTTCCCCACACCCATATGGTGGCTAACAACTTTCCAGAACTCCAATTCTGGGGATTCCACGCTCTCTTCTGACCTCTGTGGACACTGCATGACCTGGGTACACTTACATACATGCAGACAATACACTCATACAAATAAAAAATAAATTATTAAAAAAAAATAAAACTACATGTTTGGCCTATGTTCCAGAAAGACAGAGATAGAAACTATTTTGATTGGAGAAAACTGCAGAACAGGAACTAAGGATTTCAGAAAGGACCAGAAAAGTAAACACTTAGTAATAGTATGATTTATGATTTTGTTGTTATTTTGAAATGGGATATCACTATGCAGCCCTGGCTGGCCTCAAATCTCCTGCTTCAGCCTCCTGAGTATTGGGATTACAGGTGTATACCACCATACCCAGCCCTTAGTCAAGTAGTAATCTTAAGGATTGAATTTCTCATTGTTATCAGACTGGCACTGATACCAGGTTAAAGAAAGGAAATGGTTTAAATTCTCTGATAACAATGTTTAAATAGTTTACAAATATTACAAATATACCTTTTCAGCATTTGCTTGATCAAAGCCCCAGCCAAAATATTCGTGTTTAAATTTCCACACCTAAAATACAGAACAGGGTCATAAAAATTAGATACTATCAATTCATGTACATCATTTATTAACATGTTGAAAAAAGTTCTTAATAAATTCCAGTTTGTAACTGTAAGTTCACCTTTGCATATAACATTAAAAGACGTCCTTAAAGCAAATTAATTTTATAGTCTCTTACATAAAAATTTATCAAACTTTCTTTTTTGTATTGAAGATTTATTTTTACTTATGTGCATGTCTGTGTATGGGTATATGTACATGAATACAGATGCCTGTGGACGCCAGAAGAGTGTTGGAGCCTCTGGAACTGATGTCACAGTTGGCTGTGTGATGCCTAACATGGGTGCTGGGAACTGAACGCAAGTCCTCTGGAAGAGGACGACAAAGGCATCTCTACAGTGCCTAACAAACTTCCCTAATTTTTTTTTTTTTTTTTTGTCTTTTTGAGACAGGGTCTCCCTGTAGTCCCAGCTGTCCTGGAACTCACTATGTAGACCAGGCTGGCCTTGAACTCAGAGAGATCTACCTGCGTCTGTCTCCCGAGTGCTGGAATTAAAGGTGTGCACCACCACACCCAGCTCTTTCTTGACTATTTTATCCTGCAATAATATTTGAGCTTGTTTTACTATTCATGGTAACAATAAGCTAACTTTTACACTGAGATGAAAAAGTATATATCCTGTGGTAATTCCACCTTCGATATTCAAACAGTGCCTAGAAACTTACATTTCAATTTGAATTTGGTGGCCTTATGTAGTTCTTAAGAGTGACTCTATCAACATTACCAAAGCAAAGTCTATTCACCATATACTATATGCAGCTATGGAATCAATTCGAGAAAAAACTTAAGATTCTAGGAAAAAAACCCTTATCCAGCTTTGAAAGCTTTTGTTATCTAGATTTTCTATAGAATCTTTATCAAATAATTTTAATATATATTAAGTATATTTTTGTGCTAGCTTGAACCTTACAGATTTAATGATCATGAAAACAACTCAGTACAATTTTTGTGTGTGTGTGTGCATGCCTGTGTGTAAGAGATGGAGAAAAATGCTTATGAGTACTAGAATTGAGATGCGCACAGAATAACCCGTAGTATTTAAATACAAAATGGTTCTGGTTTCTGACCCAGTTATCTATAAATAGAATTTCTAAATTCTTAAGTTTAGGCAGATTCAAAGTTGATGCCAAAACCAAATGTAAATAATCAACTTTTATTTTATACACACACACACACACACACACACACAAACACATCTTTATACTCAGACTCTGCTATGATTAGAACATGAATACTATCTTATGTTTCTTTACTTTCATTAGTCAGTCAATTTGACTGTGTCCCCCTTGGTAAAAAAATACTGCAATTTGATCAATTTTGGGGATTGTTACCTCTATCTAAGTAGTCTTTCCCAATGTATATAATAATGCCCGTGAAAAGATTTAGGCCAATTCAAGAAACGTGTCTGACACCAGGGTAGCAAATACTGGCTTCAGATACAATTGCAGACTCTGTAGAGTTGGCTAAGACCAGGATGAAACAAGAACTCCTAGGACTAAAATGCATTTCTCTACCAGAAAATTGAAGCACAAATTGGAATAAAGCCTTTCATGATTCATCTGATGTAAAATCACACCTTATTAAGCACAAAAGGCAAAAACAATTCACTAGATATTTTCTGCAGGACTTTTAGGTAATACTCATGATCCTGATAAGGACAAGGGGCAGGAGCAGCCAAAGAAGATGTATGATGGATATAATCCACAGTGCGGCTGTACTGCAATGAGCTTCTTGCTCCTTGAAAAGAATCCCATACAAAGAGGTTATGATCTGCTTTAAATACAGTATGTATCAATGAGGGCCTTCCAAAGCCAAAATACCAGAAAAATGAGGAAACTACCAACATCCTACCTTGTAGTAGTCAACCACCAGAGGTCATGATGTTACACATCACTCAATTTCCTCAAATTGAAGAACACAGCAGAAACCAGAAGAGTTAACCAAGAAGAGATTTGTGATAGATCTATGGCAACATAAAAGGTAGGAAAGGTGCCTGATCTGGTCTCTACTGGGTGTAGGGGCTGAGACCTCAGCAGACAGCCTGAGAGCATCACATCTGGCCTTCACCTGGTGTAGGAGCTGAGAACTCAGCAGACAGCCTGAGAGCACCTGGATCTGGCCTCCATGCGGTGTAGATGGAATCCTACTGAAAATGGGCCAACAGCCCATGGAAAACAGATGATGCAGAGACCTGAAAGTTCAGTGCCTTGTCACAATGGGAGGAAGAACATCCCACACCTATCACCCCCTCCAAGGCTCAGGGACTTTTGTGGAAGAAGTTGGCAGAAAGAATATAAGAGCCAGAAGAAAGGGTGGACTGTTACCAGGAAGTGTCCTCCAACCACCTTGTGGGTAAGCTATAGTCATATCTCCTTCCCAAGCTCGTCAAGGAGTCCAGGGGGGAGTCACTTACCCCTCCCATTCAATCAGCTGACCTTAGCTGCATGTGGAGAGGAGCTAGGATATATAAGCCATGATCACCAGGCACCTCTCTTGCCATTTTGTGCAGCTGTCAGGAAGTCATAGTATCTACCTTTGAGTGTGGACTTTCCAATGCAGCCATAAATGAGGGGGGGGCACTCTTCTGTAAATAAACCCCTACTCTATTCTCTGTTAGCAAGCCCAATAAACTCATTAGAATTTTCCAAAGAAAGAACAACATCAAAAATAGAATAACAATAAAAAGAACAGAGCTAATAGAAATCTTTTTCTATTACATGCCTTTAAGAAAGCTATAAAATAAGCCAGGCATGGTGACACATGCCTTTAAGCCCTGCACTCGGGAGGCAGGTGGATCTCTGTGAGTTCGAGGCCAGCCTGGTCTACATAGCAAGTTCCAGGACAGCTGGGGCTACAGAGAGACCCTGTCTCAAAAAAGACAAAAAAAAAAAAAAAAAAAAAAAAAAAAAAAAAAAAAAAACCAGCAAAAACCAAAAACCAAAAACCAAATGCTATAAAATAACACTGTTTAGTCAAGTCTAGTGAGGAGCATAAATGGGCAAATAGGGCAGCTTGAGTGTCTGAGATATGAGGTCTAATAATGAACTTTAACTTGTGCTTTTAGAGCTTTGGCGATATCAGAGTCAGTAGTCGGGTACACTGAAACAAGGGAGAGGGGCTGGAGAGATGGGTCAGTGGTTAATAACACTGGTTGTTCTTGCAGAAGACCTGGGTTCGAATCCCAGCACCCACATGGCAGCTAATAACTGTCCTTAACTCCAGTCCCAGAGGATCTCACAGCCTCTTCTGACCTCTGCGGGCATTGAACGACACAGGTGCACTTACCTACATGCAGGCAATACCTGCATACACATAAAATAAAAATAATAAAATTAAAAAAAAAAAAAGGGCGAAGCCAGGTGTGATGGTGTATCCTTTAATCCCACTCTGGAAGCAGAGGCAGGAGGATCACTGTGAGTTCCAGGCAATTTGAGCTACATAGCAAGGACCAGGCCAGTCAGAGCTACACAACAAGTTCCTGTTGCAAGAGTGGGAGAGAGAAACAGAATGATGACACGGTTAATGTTTTCTGCTAGCAAAACTGGCTTTGGTTCTTTTGTTAAAACTAATTAAATGTACTAGAATGGCAACCACGTGCTGTCACTTACTAGTTTGAGAACTGGCATTCTAAATAAACTTTTTACGTATAAAAACACTTGTTAGTCAATGATCTTTATTTAATTTTTATTTAACATAAACTTAGGAATTCAGTATAATCACGTGGTTGAGTCAGGGTCTCCCTACATCCCCCAGGCTGGCTTCAACTCGTCGCTCTCCTGCTGGCATGTACCACCATGCCCTGCTCTTCTTTCTCCATTAGATGATGAGCCAACTAGGGGTAGAACTCAGTGCCTAGCTTTTCCAAGAAGGTCCTAGATTCAATCTGAAGTACTGAAGGCAGGGTAAGGGTGGGGGTGGAGAGGATGGTACAAAAGCTAAAACAGTAACAGCTCCTCAAGAAAGGAGTTTAGCTATTGTGCTGTTGCCTGATCCCCTGTCCCCCCTTTGTTTTTTAAAATAAATAAATAAAACATAATGTCTATGTTGTCCAGGCTGGTCTGGAACTCCTGACTCAGCCTCCCAAATAACTGAACTACTGCCAAGGAACTTGTCATGCTGAGATTATCTGGGTTTTATAGGAGAAGGAACAGAGATGTTACAACATCAGTTATCTAGTGTCACTGCTACAGTCACAACAGAAATGAAATCATGTGTTCTTCATATGAACACTTGGGAGGACACTGTATTTACATTTCCATTATACAGTCCATACCGACATATTTAAGAGCTGCTCAAATTTTTAGGTAAGAGTGAAGTTGCAACATAATAAATGTTGCAACATATTTGATAGTGTTTTTTTTCCTAAAGGTTTGACCTTTGAATTTTAATGAAATGGCAGAAAAACAAGGAAGTTCTTTTTCTTTTTTCTTTTAAAAAGGCGTATTGAAAAAGCATTAAGGTTTTATCAACTTGGACAGAAGCCAGAAAGTTTAAGATAAAGTAGGCTAAGGCATAGGCTGTTTGAATAAACTGACCTTTATCATCAGTGGTTAAGAGCACTGACTTCTTACAGAGGACCCCGGTTTGATTCCCAGCACCCACACGTCGCCTACAAACCATCCTTAAACTCCAGTTCCACAGGAATCAGAAGCCCTCTTCTGACCTCCGCAGCATTGCACAACATGGGTGCACTCACATACATGCAGGCAATACACTCATACACATAAAAATAATAGGGGACTGGAGAGATGGCTCAGCAATTAAGAACACTGGCTGTTCTTGCAGAAAACCTGTGTTTGAATCCCAGCACCCACATGGCAGCTAACAACTGTCCATAACTCCAGTTCCAGGGGATCCGATGGCCTCTTCTGTCCTTCTGAGACATTGCACGACATGGGTGTACTTACGTACATGCAGGCAATACATGCACACACATAAAATAAAAATAATAAAATATTTAAAAAACAAAAACAAAAAAATAAAAAGAATGTATTGTCACCCTGCGCTAGGGCATGCCTTTAGTCCCAGCACTGGAGAGGCAGAGGCAGGTGGATCTCTGTGAGGTCAAAGCCAACCTAGTCTACATAGTGAATTCCAGGGTGGAAAAAAAAAAAAAAACGAAAAAGAAAAAAATGTACAGGACAAGAAAAACTGATACAACCAAGTGCTCTATTAGCTTAAGAAACTGGAAAAACCATCTTCAATATCCTCTGGTTGAAAGAGTGCTCTTCCAGAATATTGCCATCTTTAAAGTTGTTGAAAATTTTTATTTTTTGAGATAGGGAGTCCCTGTAGCCCCAGACGGCCTGGAATTCACTATGTAGGCCAGGCTGGTTTTGATCTCACAGAGGTCCGTCTACAGCTGCCTGCCTCCAGATGATCATCATCATGAATCATCAAGTCCTGGAGAACACACTCACTTCTTAAAAAGTTTGAATTACCTGGAAGATTTATATGTGAAAGTGTGTGAGCTAGAGATCTCCCAAAGAAAAAAACTAAGAAAGGGCATTTAAAAAGTTCTTTAGCTTAAAAGCTAAAGGTAATAAGGTTAAAGCCTACTCTTAAATCTTAGGTGACAAGGGGCAGATTTTAAATCCTAATTTATAAAATCATGTTATCAGCCATATCGGGGACTCAGATGTCTGAGGCCGCAAACACGAACACCGTGTTATTATAAAGCTAACAATCCTTAAAATCCACTAGGGTTAACTTTGAGGCTCCCCAAATGTGGCCTTGAGGCTCATCCTCTACTATCTAAGCTTTGTTCACAGAACAGGCCAGAACACATTCTTAGGAGCAGCACTTTCAGTGCACTCTCTACCCGGGCGATAACCTTACAGCAGTTAGGGTGTTAACTTTCCATTCGAAGAAGAACAGCAGGACAGCGCACCAACCCCCAGCCTGAGAGGGAAGCACAACCCCCACGCCTCCCCTAGAGAACTAGGGTCGAGCGCGCTCCCGGCGACCTCCAGATCACCTTCAGCGGGGCGGGCTGGAAGTGGGAGCGAGCCCTAGGGCACAGCCGCCCGCCAATCAAACCCGGAGCTGGAGGCCGGGCCACGCCGCAGGCGCCCAATCTCGGCCGCCGTAACGGTCTTGGCCTCAGGGTGCAGAGCTCGGGGGCGGGAACACTGGGAACTAAATTAGGCAGCCAAGCCGAGAGTGGAAGGAAGCTGGGGCCGGGCGGGTCTCTGCGGCTCCCGAGAGCGGCCGCTACACCCCGGGTAAACAAAGGCGCAGAGGGCCGGTAACGGTCAGGTGACAGCGACCGGCAGACCACGCAGTCACTGCGGGCCCGACACCTCGGTTCCGTCAGCGCTTCCGGATCGGACTCACGGTCGCCCTCACCGCACGGAAAAGCCAAACTCGAGCCTGGGGCCCTCCGGCCGCTCCCGCCCCGGGAGCCCATGGCCGCCCGCAGGCCCCGGCCTGTCCCCACGCCGGAGTTCTTTCCCCGACGCCGCGCCAGCCCGGTCCGCGACGGCTGAAAGCCAAGAGCGTCCAGACCCTCTCCGGAGGACCGGGCCGCGGCCGCTCGGCTCCCGCGGGTGCTGACGATCAGCACTGCGGTCGTCGCCAGCTGGCCGCCCCGAAGCGCTCACCCGGTACCTCTCGGCGCAGGCTAGGAGCGGCCTGGAGCGGCTGGCCTGCGTCTCTAGGCGCCGTCGGAGAAGCGCAGTTCTGAGCCGGCGTCTCCGCGAGCCACCAGTCTCAGTCGCAGCTCAAAACAAAGGAAACATGTGACCGTCAGGGCCAAAACACCGAGCGTCATCCACCCTTGGCCAATCGGGTGGGCGTCCCCTTCCTGGAGCACCCTGGGAGATGTAGTTCTCAGTCCCGGGCCACCTGGGTTCCGCTATTGGGCGGGTGTTGGCTGTGCACTGTGACAAGACCTAATCCGGGGCCGCCTGTTTCAAAAACTTTTTTTTAGGTAGAATCAGATTAATGGAATGCATCTTGTGCAAGGAGCGTAGTGAGAAACTCGCATAGTATGTTGATTTCCCTCAAAGAGCCCTCTACTTTCCAAAGCAAAAATACAGGACAAGCAGTTAGCTGGGACTGAGACTTAGAGGTGTTTTGTTTGTTTTTGCTTTAATTAACTCTTGGGAAATCTGAGGGCCTGGCCACTAGAAAGCACAAGGGAAATTGTTTTTCTTTGTAAACTGTCCTTTTCGTTAAGGTCACTGTTATCATTAGGCTGCCTTTTAATTTTTTTTGTTTTGAGACAAGGTCTCCCTGTAGCTCCAGCTAGCCTGGAACTCAATATGTAGACCAGGCTGGCCTCAAATTCACAGAAATCTGCCTGCTTCTGTCTCCCAAGTGCCGGGATTAAAGGAATGTGCCACCATGCGTGGCTACTCTTTACTTTTTGTGTATTGTGTGTTTGTTCAGGTGCCCTCAGAGGTAAGAGGAGGGCGACAGATACCCTGGAACTGGAGTTACAGGCAGTTGTGAGCTGCCTCAGGTAGGTGCTGGGAACCAAACGTGGGTCCTCTGGAAGACTCTTAACCACTGCCAAAACATTGTAAAATTGTGCTTGATTTTACAATGATAGATGAAAAATATTAAAATTCTCCAATAGAATACAAGAATTTTTATGTTGTTGGGTTTTTCTTAAAACAATGAAAGCAAAATAACTTACAGGAATAGAAATAGCTGAATTAGCATGCTACTAGTAGAAAAAGGAATATTTTCACAGAACCAATACTTTCCCCCATATCATCGCCATTTGATGTCCACCAAACATAACATTGGCCATTTAGTTAAAATAAACCCAAAAACTCAGTATACTTGTTACTTTATGTCCAATAAAGAAACAAGGGGGGGGGAGTGAAAGAATAGAGAAAGCTATACTGTAGTAGTTAGGATGTGGTAAAACCAAATTTTCACCTTCCCTCCTTCCCCCCCCTCCCTCCCTTCCCCTGTTCTTTTGTGACAAAGTCTCACTATGAACTACCTACATAGACCACGCTGGCCTTGAACTCACAAAGATCCACCTGCCTCTGCCTCTCAGCACTGGGATTAAAGCATGTGCCAACACACCCAGCTAAATTTCTGCTTTCTAATTGAGAGTGTATTCTTGGTCTATAGCAAAATTCTGGTGGAAAGTAGTAGGCTTGCTTTTTAGTAGATACCTTCTGTCTGCTGCCCTGGCTGGCCTGAAACTCACTATGTAGAACAGGCTGGTCTTGAAATCACAGAGATCCATTTGACTCTGCCACCTGAGCTAGGATTAAAGGCATGTGCCACCATGCCCAGCTGAGGTCAGGTTTATGCCTCTTAATTTTGAACTTCACCCCAGACCCATCCTGTCCTCCCACCTTCAAATATGATTGCTTTTTTTCTCTCTTGAGTCCTCCCTTGCTAGTGTCTGAGATGGTCAGTATCGGAATCTCCTCCGCTGCTTCGCAAAGCGGTACCTGCAGTGAAGGAAGAGTGCTATCAGGAGCAGCAGAAGACAGCAGTAGGCAGAGTTCATGAACACCTAGGACCACTCTCTCTTTTATAAAATTTAATATTCATACATGTATATAAAATGTTTGGATCAAATTAACCCCCTTGTCTCCTCCAATTCCTTCCCTATCCACCTCCACCACTTTTCCCTAACTTCATGTGCTATCCTCCCTCCCTCCCTCCCTCCCTTCCTTCCTTCCTTCTTTTTTGGGGCTTTTCATGACTCTAACATTCCCCCCTCTGATAAAATCTTTTAGGGATTAGATAAGTGCTCCCAAATACTTTTGATACTTTTGGCTTTTGGAACAGAGCATATTGCTAAGAGGCCCAAGGACATTTTGATTCCTTCCTTCCTTCCTTCCTTCCTTCCTTCCTTCCTATAAATACCCACTGAGTCTACTTAGTGCTGCCTCTATGTGCATAGGATCATCTACTGGAACATGGTTAGCCTCTCAGGGCATGCATCCTTGAAGAAAACTGACTCTTTCCTTAGTAGTCAATAGCTCTCAGACAGAGGTGGGACTTCCTAATTCCCTTTCCCAACTATGCTGGGATTTTGGCTGCTTTGGAGGTCAGAGAACAACTTGCAGGAATTAATTCTCTCCTTCCACTCTGTGGGTTCTGGGGATGGAAATCAGATCATGAGTCTTGGGGTGAAATGCCTTTATCTTTTGAGCCATATCACCATCACCAGGGTCAGGATGTCTTGACCATAGCTTCTGGGCTGAGCAAGATGTCTTCAGCTGAGTACTCCCTGTCCGTGACATCCTTGATTGGGGTGCCAGAAAAGTGTGATATCTTTCCTTATCTACCACAAGGAGATGGTCAGTCCTGTAGCAAAAGGCAACTTAATGAGCAAAACAAAAACAAATTTATTTAACAAATTAATTATAAAGTGTGCTTTCAGATCCTCTGGAATTCACTTTGGGGTGGCCTGCAAGGGGAGGTCCTCAGACTATCTTGTGAGAGATGGAGTCAAGATGACAACTCACAATTCAGAGTGAAGGAAGAAGAGGGGAGTGTGCAAGCAGGTACCTCTGGCACAGGCAGAGAGGCCTTAGGCTGCTAAAAACCAGTGTGTTCACTAAGGCCCTGAGGATTCTCCCTACCCCACAAATTAGTGTGTGTTGATGAATAATAGCCTCTTACTCAGTTGGAGCTGGCAAAGAAACAGAGCTGTCAGATCCAGGGAATGCTGCTGAAATTGAGTGAGATCAACCCAAAATGTGTTGTATTTTGTGTTATGGTTACAATTCCATGTACTCCTAGTCATTTAGTGAGATTAAATCATAATGTGTTTTATTTTGTGCTGTGTTTACAATCCAGGTCTATATATGGTCATTTGAAGAAGGTAGATAATTGGAGAGGTGGGGGTAAGACATTATTTCTTCTCCTTTCAGAGGTATTGTGTAGTATGCCATAGTCTGTCCTCTTGCAGATTCCATACAGTGGTCCTTGTGTTGTTCCTGTAGCATCCACAGCTACCATTAAGATTTCAGGGTGGCCAAGCATCCATGAGATAGGCAACCTTCTTTTCTGCAGCCCGTGATTAGGACTGAAGCAAGACAGAAAGAGAGGGAAAATGATGACATGGGAAAGCACACATGGGACAGGAAAGATTCCCTTTGCCTGGGATCTGGTTTGCTTATCCCGCTGACAGGAAACTTCACACTTTTAATAAAATCAAAACTGTCTATGGAACAAAGCATGTTTTCCTAAAGACATGGCTATCAAAGATGTCAAAGGCAGTAAATAAACTTTGCTTACTTAGGGCCAAAATGACCTCGGTTTTCAGCATCTACCTTTCATTCTTACATCTAAATATACCTGCCCATAAATCCACATTACAGCTTTGTTTACAAAGAAAATTCTTTAACCTTTAAACTCTATTGTAAATATACTCTCCAAGCAATATAACTTAGACAGTCACAAGATAATGTAAATAGCCATTGTAAAAACAAGACCTGGGCAATTACTTGTCTGGAAATGCCTTCTGTTACAAATGGGGATTTTATCTTACATGTTTTGAGATCGTTTATCACTGTATATTCAATATGCCTTCCTACTGTGTAATCAGCTTGTTTCAATTTAGCTAGCCTTTAGGAAAACAATGTAAACAATCCTACCAGATCTGCCCCCCACCATGTAATCAATTTCTACAAACTAAGCTAAACACATAGCTTTAATCTTAAACAACATTCCCCACTTCTCCCTAATGACCCTGCCTTGCCCTGACCCAGATCAGTGTGTGTGTGTGTACTAGCTAAACTAAACACATAGGTTTAATCTTGGACTGTGTTCCTTCCCTATTTCTCCCTCATGACCCTTCCTTGTACTTGGCCCAGAATATATATATATATGTGTGTGTGTGTGTGTGTGTGTGTGTGTGTGTGTGTGTGTGTGTGGTGAAAATATCATCACTGAAAGCGGTGACCTGGGAAGCATGTGGAGAACAATGAACTATCCACAGCATATGTTGCAGATAACACATGGGCTTAGTTTAGCAAGATCTGTTTGTGGTTCTGTGTGCTGCTCTGAGTCAGTAGGAGTCAGATGAGGCAAACTTCCTTGGTTAAAGATTCTTTAAGACAAAGGCCTCATTCCCTTATCATATGATATCAGATATGATATCAGATATAATATATTCCTTTCTGAAGTGATATGCTGGATATACAGTTTAAATAAATACAGAGAAAGTTCTTTGGGGGAAGAGTTTTGAGAAACACAAAAAAGGAACAGTTCTGAGAACAGGTTGGGCTCACTCTTGCTTTAAATGATTCTAGGAGACAGTCATTCTTTAATCAGGCACTATCACATTGTATCTGCCACAAATAATGAGTGACAATCTATTAAGAATCCTATACCCAAGGTTGGGTATGTCTTATTCTTTACTTGATCATCTCTTTCTATTAACCCTTGTGTTTAAAATATATGTTAAATATGTCTTTTAATAAATTTCAATTCTTTCTGGGCATGGTGGCACATGCCCAAGGCCAGCCTGGTCTACATAGTTCCAGACCAGCTGGGGTTATAGGGAGAACCTGTCTCAAAAAGACCAAGAAAAAAAATTTCAGTCCTTCTACATATTGTCTTGTCCTGAAATTCTGAAGCCAAGAATCTGATTTTTACTTGAGTTGAGGTCCCTAAAAGATTAAGGGAACACCTTAGTTTGCTGTATGTGACAGAGTAGAGCTGTATCTCTGGCTCTGCTGCCATTGACAGACTGTTTCTTAGACATACCACATGGTTTCGGTTGTTTGTTCCCTCTTTTGGGCCTCTAGCACTTTGTTTCCCAACACTGGATATCCTTTTAATAACTAGCTGGTATCATCTTTTCTGGGGGCCGTTTAAATTCTCTATTTTCATACCCACTTGTAAAGCCATGTACAGTTTCAGATTCTTTAAAGATTTTATTTATTTTTATTTTATGTGTAGGTTTTCCTTTCATGTATATTCGTGCATCAAGTACATGCAGTACCAGTTAAGGCCAGAAGAGGGCATTGGATCCCCTGGAACTGGAGTTACAGATGGTTGTTAGCTGCCATGTGGGTGCTGGGATTTGAACCTGGGTCCTCTGAAAGAGTAGCCAGTGCTTTTAACTGATGAGCCGTTTCTCTAGTCCTTTACCCTGAGGCACCCACACTATGTTCACACCCAACTGCTGGAGTACACCTGGGTTCTTTGACGTACCTCTTTCACAACAAATCCAGGCTGAAAAGCATCAATGAAGAACTTTATCAAAACTGGGTCTTGGCTGGCGAGATGGTTCAGTGCTTAAG